TTTTTTTTTTTTTTTTTTAGCTCACACTCAGCCTGGTGTGAGCAGGCCCATCCTTGCCACTGACTGCATGTGACTGCCTGGGAATCCACAGATCTTTTAGAGCCACAGATACATCACTGTGTAGCTGGTGGAGTTCTTCAGGTGATATTGATAGTACACAAAGCAACCGTATGCCCTGGTATTTACAACACCCCAAGTGGAAAGGCTTCGTTCTGATGTCTTATGGAGGTGATTTGGCCATTTATAGGTCAGAGCCAAATCCTCTCCTACCAACTTCAACAATATTCTTGCCAAGTCTCAAATCTTGGCTGTGCTTAGACATTTTTCTAGCTCTATTTTTCTTCTATTTTTTTTATTTCATCATTTCATTATTTATTTATTTATTTTGAAACAGAGTCTTGGTCTGTCACCCAGACTGGAGTGTAGTGGCAAGATCTTGGCTCACTGGAACCTCCACTTCCCAGGTTTAGGCGATTCTCTGCCTCAGCCTCCCAAATAGCTGGGATCACAGGTGTGCACCACCATGCCCAGCTAATTTTTGTATTTTTAGTAGAAACAGAGTTTTATCATATTGGCCAGGCTGGTCTTGAACTCCTGGCCTAGAGTGATCCACCTGCCTCGGCCTCCCAACATGCTGGGATTACAGGTGTGAGCCACCACGCCCAGCCTATTTTTCTTCTATTATTTAGTTAGTGTTAATTAGTTTTGTAGGTGAGGAATAGAGAGTCCTTTATCTTGAAGTACAGCCATGTCTCACTTAACAATGGGGATACGTTCTAAGAAACGCTTTGTTAGGCGATTTCATTGCTGTGGAGACATCATGGAGCACACTCACATAAACCTACACGGTAGAGCTTACTACACAGCTAGGCTATGTGGTATAGCCTATTGCCCCTAGGCTACAAACCTGTACAGCATGCTACTGTAGTGAATACTGTAGGCAATTGTAACACAATGGTATTTGTGTATCTAAACACACCTAAACATAGAGAAGGTACAGTAAAAACATAGTGTCAAAGATTTTAAAATGGCACAACATCTATAGGACACTTGCTGTGAATGGAGCTTGCAGGACTAGAGGCTGCTCTGGGCGAGTCAGTGAGTGAGTGAATGTGAAGGCCTAGGACATTACCATACACTACTGTAGACTTTATGACACCGTATACTTAGCCTACACTAAATTTGTAAAAATAAATTTTTCTTTCTTTAATAATTGACCTTAGGCCGGGCGCCGTGGCTCACGCTTGTAATCCCAGCACTTTGGGAGGCCAAGGTGGGTGGATCACAAGGTCAAGAGATCGAGACCATACTGGCCAACATGGTGAAACCCCATCTCTACTAAAAATACAAAAAATAGCCGGGCATGGTGGCACATGCCTGTGGTCCCAGCTACTGGGGAGGCTGAGGTGGAAAAATCGCTTGAACCCAGGAGGCGGAGGTTGCAGTGAGCCGAGATTGTGCCATTGCACTCCAGCCTGGCGATAGAGCAAGACTCCGTCTCAATAAATAATAATAATAATAATAATAATAATAATAATTGACCTTAGCTTACTGTAACTTTTTTACTTTATAAACTTTAAATTAAAAAAACCTTTCTCAGCCATAAAAAACGATGAGCTAGTATCCTTTGTAGGGACATGGATCAACCTGGAAACCATCATTCTCAGCAAACTGACACAAGAACAGAAAATCAAACACCGCTTGTTCTCACTCATAGGTGGGTGTTGAACAATGAGAACACATGGACACAGGGAGGGGAGCATCACACACTGGGGTCTGTGGGGGGGAACTAGGGGAGGGACAATGGGGGGTGGGGAGTTGGGGAGGGATAATATGGGGAGAAATGTCAGATATAGGTGATGGGGAGGAAGGCAGTAAACCGCATTGCCGTGTATATATCTATGCAACAGTTTTGCATGTTCTTTACATGTACCCCAAAACCTAAAACGCAATAAAATACATATTAAAAAAAACCTTTCTGACTCTTTTGTAATAACAAAACATAAACATATTGTACAGATGTATACAAAAATTTTTCTTTTTAGCCTTATTCTTTTAATTTTTTGGGCGGGAAGACAGAGTCTCACTCTGTCACCTAGGCTGGAGTGCAGTGGCGCAATCTTGGCTCACTGCAACCTCTGCCCCACAGGCTCAAGCAATTCTCTGCCTCAGCCTCCCTAGTAGCTAGGATTACAGGCACCCACCATCACACCCAGCTAATTTTTTTCTTTTTTTTTTTTTCCTGGGCCACAGAGACCAAATTTTTTTTTTTTTTTTT